ATGTATCTGTCAACAAAATCTGACCAAACAGCATACTGGGTGCAGACACCATTTTACTTTAACTGCAGAGAAGTGCTAGGACAGTCCTACGAGTACTCCTCTATTTAATGGGAAAAACACGTTTGTACTTGCCAAAACATTAATTATGCCAGCTGATGAAAGGGAAGCACACGTTTTATTGAACAATAGCTTTTTTTCCCTTAAATTCAGTTTCTAAATATATTGCTAGTGTTTGTCATACTGAACTGTAATTTTTTTTTTTAATTCCTGTGTACTTACTCTTTTTTGAGAAGCTTTATAAGGATAAGAAATAGAGGATGAAGGTGGTTTCTGACCAAACTGGTTCAGTGTTTTTTTTGAGAATTTCCTTAGTATCCCATGTTTTTCAGGTCATTGTATGGCTTCTCTGTGGAGCAGCATGAGCTTCTGGCAAGTAGATAGAACAGACAGAGAACACACTAACTCAGTGCACTATTCTGTGTTTGTCCCATTTTAATGCAATCACTATGTCATGCATCATAATTAATATAAGTTTGGAACATTTATTTGTTATTTTTCTTGCTTACCATTTGTTTGGTTTTATTTTATCATTTCAYTTTTTCAGGGGTGGTTCGTGCAGAGCAAAAGAATCAGACATTTTATGATCTGGGTATCTTTGATGATGGGCCTTACGAAGTTGGTGATGAGAGCCGCCAAGATAAGAATCTAGTTCCTGTTCCAGCTAACAGTTACTTAGGTAGGATTAAGTACACGTAGTAAATCTCTTTAGGCCTCCTAAATATTTGTGATCCCAGCCTGGTGTGATGATCCGAAACGGGAGCAGACCTTCATTGTGGACCCTGTAACACATTAACCATTCTGGATAATTCACATCTCCCTCCACAATTATGGGCCAGTTGTAAGTGTAAGATGATACTGCTGAGGTACCTRGAAGGGCTGCCATAGTAATGTGAGATTTAAGAGCTGTGACAAGGACCCACAGAATCCTAGAGAGTGGTTATAATCACTGTGATGGTTCAGTACAGTATATGCGTCCGTAGGCCTTAGGCACACCGACTCTGCTGTGTGGTATCAGGTATATCAAAATTTGAGTTTCTGGATGTAACTATTAAGACTGCAGATTTTCTCTCCTGGTAGGTAAGTGGAATTCTTTTATTCTTTAAGTGTTTTAAACTCTAATGGCTTTTAATAGATCTTAAAAATACCATAATATAAATACTGTTTATGTTTTACTTGTGGATGTGTTGCAGGAAGTGAGTCTCTTGCTCTTTGTGCAGTCAGCAAAGCAGAAATCTGTCCTTAGGCCAGGAGACATTTCTGTACACCAGTGAGATATATTGGTGCAGAGAAAAAGCTATGCTGATTTTTTTTAAAGACCTTAAGTGTGAAGAATCTTTCTGTTCCACTGCTGATTTCTGTGGTGTGTTGAWCCACTGCTTTTGGTATATGCTACAAATACAGTTTTGGTAACCTGAGACTGAAATTTCTGTGTGAGCAGTGGAAAGCTGAACAGATGGGAAGGGCATTGCTAATGTAAAAAGTAAAAAAGCAGGTCAAGAAGAGAACAAACTTAGAGTCACATGTATGTTAGGAGGAAGAGAACATAAACTTCTGTTAAATATCAACAGTAATTACTGTATGTAAAGGTAACTAGAAAAAACATCCCAAGAACTGATGTCAGACAAGCTGATAGCATCCTCTGGTGGAATAAGAATTGCTAAGGTGAGGAGTGCTGTGGAGGCTGGTGCCTTCTGCTGTGATCAGTCATACCAACTTSTTGCAATTTCATAACCAATGCATTTATCTCCTAAAGGAGATATGCCTTGTCATAATCAGAACCACTTCCAGGCAAGTCAGCTCTCTTCCTTGACATTCTGTTCTGTCTGCTAAGACAGTAAGCAAATGTGATTATAGGTRCTTTGCTTAACTACTATTTTTTTCTTTTCAATTTTTCACTCATGTTTATAGGTCTTCTATTTTTGACAGCTGTATCTGATACTCATCCAGATCAGTTTGTGTACAAAACATTGCCTCCCAGCATACAGGTGGACAAGTCAGTGGATGTAATGATGAATAGCTACTTAGGTTTGTGACCACTTGAGGTGGTAGCATCTGGTCAGACATAATCTCCAGACCGTTGTCATGATCCTCTCCCCTCTATCCCCTCTCAYATCAAATACATTGTAAGTAAAGCATGAAAAAAACAGGAATTCAGATAAAGAGGAGATGGCAAAGTAAGGCTGCATCAGAGAAATGCTGATTTGTCATGGATTTCTCCAGATTCTCTCATGCATCCACCAGCTGGGACTTGCTCAGTTTTTTATGTAACTGTCTCATTGTGAATTGCTGTAATTGAGACTTTCTATAGTAGTGGTGAAGTGTTTCGGAGGGAGACTCTATCTGCTGGCTAGTATCTTCCTTGCAAAGTGGGCAGTTTTCTACTTTGGCCTTTATTGGATATATTGGTATATGCAGTATAGTCTTTTAACTTGGTTTTACATATTTTAAAATGYATTGAGTTTTATAAAGAATATGTAAGACTAAATCAATTTGAACATGTCATATTTAGGGCTGCATTTACTCAAAATTGCCAATTTCACCATTACTGTGKAAGCTGATTCTCAAATACTGCATACATCATTCATAAGAGAATGCTTGTGCAGTACAATTTGCATGTTTGCAATAGAATGGTACTGACTTGACTTAGGAAGTTTTGTGATAATTTTGCCTGAGGTAAAGTACTCGAGCTATATTCAAGTGGTAAAGCTGTAGTTGTTTCTAAGCTCATATATTTAAATATTATATTGCATTTGRTGTCTCTGAAAAACAGGTCCAAGTGAGCAATAAAGTACTGTGTTTTGTAGAMTACTTAAATATAATGTTTGGAAAAGTGTAAATACACATCCACCAGTRCAAACAGGAATGGAGAATTCCCAGCCATAGCACACTGTGTTTTAGACAGAACTTGTATTCTGTATRCCACTTTAATATAGCAAGGGAGATGTTTAGTCTTTGTATGAAAATGCAGGCTGTTCATTTGTTTATATTTTATTTCTTTCTCTTTAAAGGTTTCTCTTTGGACTCTGGTAAAGGAATTGTCTCCCAAGATGAGATGACTTTTGTGTCTGGTGCCCCAAGAGCCAACCACAGCGGAGCAGTTGTTTTACTGAAAAAAGAGAAAAATCAGAGAGCCCTTTCCTTGGAGCACATGTTTGAAGGAGAAGGGCTGGCCTCTTCTTTTGGCTATGATGTTGCTGTTGTRGACCTCAACAGTGATGGGTATGGCTGTGGTTAACTCCTGCTGCCTGTGTGTGATCTTGTTTATTTCTGCTTTCRCTTTTCACATTAGAAATACAAGGAATGTTAAATCCCACCTTCCATATTTTCCTGGAGGAAATGGTGAGCATATTGGAGAACCAATCAGGACAGAGTCTACCTTTCTAATAAAGTATTTTATTTAAACAATTAAAGAAAGAGGAAACTAGTCTCATACTGAAAGAAGACCTTAGAACGTCTTTGTATGTCATCAAGGGAATAAACCAGCTTGTAGTTTCAGTGGAGCTGTTGCTGCCCAACCAGTTTAATGCATGTTTTAGTCTTTGTTCAGCAGCACTTTGGGCAGCTGGTCTTGAGCTCACAGTCTGATCACTTATTTTTCACAGCTCTTATACAAAAGTACTGGTTTTTTTTTTTTTTTTTTTTTAATTATAAGGTGGCAGGACATCGTTGTTGGGGCCCCGCAGTACTTTGACAGAAGTGGGGATATCGGGGGTGCTGTGTACATCTACATGAACCGCCAAGGCAGATGGGCAGGGGTGAAGCCTCTTCGCTTAAACGGAACCACAGACTCCATGTTTGGACTTGCAGTTGAAAATGTTGGGGACATTAATCAGGACGGATATCCAGGTAAGTGGAAAATTATGACAATAAAAACGCGTGAGACTGTTTTGTCAATGCCAGACTTGGAACACCTTACCCTTACTGTGACTGCAYGCTGCAGAAAGAGCAAGAATGATTTCAGATGTTGCAACTTATTTTCAACAGATATTGCAGTAGGGGCTCCATATGATGGTTTTGGCAAAGTATACATTTACCATGGATCCAAGAATGGAATAAATACAAAACCAGCACAGGTAATGAAATAACCTTTACTTTATAATTAGTCTTGAACAAAATTAAAGGAATGACAGGGTTATCCATCTCCCTTTCCATTACTGGGGTGGTAGATATGCAGAAAAGTTRCAGGGCCTTCAAAGGTTGCACTGCTGACTGAAAAGATTAGGAATTCCTGATATTAATACATATTTTTATTTCTGGGGCTCTCCTTTGGCACCAGTAATATGTGCAGAAGGAAAAAAGTGTGTAGATTAAATAAATTGAGGTTGTTTTAAAATAAATCTGATGATTTGAAAATAATTAGTTTGTTTTCTCTTTCACTACTACTGTTTCACTTTATTCTTAAGTAATGTGTGTGCAGGTTTTTTTGAGGAYTACTGTATCCAGTTTGCAGGGTGGGAATGGAACTTGATTATGYTCCCTAGAATACTGCTCAAATACTTCACAGAATGCTTTTTCTGTTTCAAGTGTCTATAGTCCCTACACCGTAAATAAAAGATGAACTAAGCTCTGCACATGAGTAATTTCWGGTACTCACTGCAATTGCAAAGTAACTTCTTGGAAGAAAAGCAAATCATCTTGGCACTTCAGTATCCTTTAAATGAACTGAGCACAAAGGTYCTATTTCACAGATCCTACTTCACTGTACCTCTTCTCTCTTTTTTTCTCTGGCCATAAGACTGTTAGGTTTGCTTGTTATTTATTTCACTTTCATTACTTTTAAAATGTCTGAATTCCCTCAATCTGTTTGCTCTTTAGATTCTTGACGGTGAAAAAACAAACACCAATTTCTTTGGTTACTCTATTGCTGGAAACATGGACCTGGATAAAAATTCCTACCCTGATGTTGCTGTTGGTTCCCTGTCAGATTCTGTACATGTGTACAGGTATTATATACAGAACCTTAACCAATTACACCAGGGCTTTTGTTCTAGTTTCTTAAAAACAATTTACTTAGAAGTAATAGCTGTTTGGCCTTGTACTTTTCCTACTAGAAATTGGAAATGGGGGAGGGTGAAGGTGGGGGAGGGGAAGGGCAGGGATTCAATAAATTGGTTTTTTTCTCCCCTTTAGAACCTGCCTTACCATCTTGCAGAGTAAGAGGGTGAATGTGGAGAGTTCCTGTAGAGTGCAGATGTGGGCAGTGTACCTGATGTAACTTGTATGTCTGTGTCCTTTAATGGAATTCAAGGGTGATAAGTAATTCCTCAAGGAGATGTTAACTGATGCGTTTGCTGCTCTTATATAATCTAATTGTGCTTTATTGAGGATAGAACAAAACAGAACCAATCTCCACTTTCGTAGCTGAGGATCCAGCCTCGCTTTTGTTCCAGTGAGGTGCACACAGCCTTGCTGAGCTTGCACTGGGATCTATGAAACAGTGAGGAAGCCCTGCAGCTAAGATCCTTTGGCACGGAATCCTAAGATTCCTGTAGCACATGCTTTAATTAGGGATCACGTCACAGTCTTTTGCAAACCTCTGTTTTTTTTCCAGTTTAATCTACTGTTAAGCTTAATCACTAGTAATGGGCAGGAAGAGGACAGTCTCAGCATCAGAACTGTGAATGCTGCCTCAAGCTCAGRTCTTTGGTGGTTGCTGTCAGGTCACAAAGGACGAGAAGTAGAAACTCCAAAACTGGTTATCTCAATTCTGGGACAAACCACCTTTACAAAGGCAAAACAGCCTTTCCCACAATTTATGATCCCATCTCTAAGGTGTATAGTATCTGTATACATAATTGTAATGTTCTTAAATACACTGGAACAGCACCCAAGAAGGCAATTCACATGGCTTGTGGAAGAGAACAGAGTAGGTGGTAGAGGAGTTGGTTACATTAAGTGTTCTGCTTGTTCAAAAGGAGATTTGATCTTTTGCTGATAAGGGCAGGACAAAAACTTTTACCAAAGTGAGAACAAAAACCTCTAAAGGTGATAGACAGTGAGAGGAGTAGCCCAGTTAATGGAGGATGTGGCTTACCAGCTATTTTAACCAACCTTTAGATGCTTTGATGAGAACGAGATCAACTCATTCACTTATTCATGTGAAATGTCTTCTCCCTTTCAAAAAAGGAAGAGAAAYGGTTACATGGGAAATGATGTTTTCCTTTTCTGCTTCTGCATGGTTACAGCSTACATGCAGAAGCAGGAAAGGAAAACATCATTTCCCATGGCCACCCAGGCTTCATATTAAAGTTCTTGTGAAYGTGAATCTGAATGAACTGTACTACCTATAGTTCACAGGGGCGAAATTACTACTGGGGTAGAAAGCACCACTGAATTTTCTGTTTTTCATTAATGAATAAAATGACAACAACTTCACATTAGTGTAGCCTGCTTCCCTGTCAGGATCTATAGCTGTTCTGTGTGACCTTTGCTCTGCTTAGCTTTAAATAGTTTCTTTTTTTTAAATAACCAGTATCAAAGCCAAACTCTTGTGCTTTTTGGAGTCTCTTTGTTGCCAGTCAGTGAACGTGTGGAGGGAATCTGGTATTCACATGAACTATTTCATTAACCTGARCAGAAACAACTTCTTTTTTTACTCCTTCCTTTTTATTCCCTATTATTCCCCGAAACGAAGATCTCGGCCTGTGATAAGCATTAGAAGAAACATTACAGTACAGCCGGACAGAATTGATCTAAAGAAAAAGAACCCTGAGGACAATGGTGAAATACGGTAAATGAAAAAAAAGAAATACTACTCTGTCAGAAGCCTTGGTGTATTGAGTTTTGCTGTCAAAATTCATTCAGTGATGATAAAGTGAAGGGATATGAGAGTAATGCAGGTTAAGCAAATGTGTCTGCATATGATCATTTTGACTTCTTGAATTCCTTAGGACTACTGTGCTAAAACAAGGTGTGGAATATGTTCTGTTCAGTGTCCRTTTTTGAAAATGAATGTCACTTTTCCACTTCACACTTCAACACAAGTATCTCGGTTGAACAACTTTCTCTTGAGTAGGGACGAAAGAGCAAATGCTAGAAAATTTTTCTAAGTGTTTAGTATCCATTTTTTATTGCTTTGCAGTCCAGTCTAGTAAGCAGCAAATACCACAGTCATAAGAATGATAAGATCAGTTAATGCACTGTTAAAACTTCTCATTATGTTGGACCATGCCTTACTAAAGTTAATACTATTTCTTTGCACTTTTTACAGGATGGATGTGAAGGCATGTTTTAAATATACTGCAAACCCCAGAGATTTAAATCCAAGAATAAGTAAGTTCTGAAGAGAAATATTTTTTATGTTTGTCACATGGTTTGGTTGGTTTTTTTTCTTTAGAGCTTATAATGGAAAGATATTACTCAAATTATAGTGACTCAGACAGTGACAGTCAAATTTAAAATGTGACTCAGTGCTAAGCTCAGCTGTTGCACAGTCTGTATTTAGAGTCATGCTGGTGTGTTAAGCTGTTCTGTGGATGACAGACTGAACTGAAGCCATGTATTAAAACTGCCAGTGAGCAAATGGCTGCTATACAGACCCCAAGCCATTTCTGTCTCTCTAGGTTAATACTGCTTTAAAGAATCATATTAAAAGCTCATTTTATATATCCTTGTAAGCATTCTTTCTTATTGGAGGATTATCCTATAAACCTGTCCTGATTTCATGAAAATGGTTTTGTGGAAATCAGTAACTGAAATAAAAAGATATGTGTTAATAGGAGAAGACCAGAAGACTGTGCTGCAAAATTTAAAGCACTTGTTACAATACTACTGTTACTATGTCTTGGAGAACTGTGATTTTGAGAGGAATTTAGGAGAATTTTAAGCCCARTGCTCCTTTTTCTCCTGTGTTTTGAGTTTCTCTGTTACATTTAAAATCCAGAGGATGTGCCTGAGTGAGGTCCTGGTCCTTCAGCAGGTCAAGTGCTTCAACTTACCAGTGCCTTGGTACCCTCAGTGCCGTTCCATCTGTGCAGCACTGAATTAGCTCAGTGGAGCGATCATTAAAAGATGCACCGAGTTCAGAAATAGCAAGACATGCCTCAGCACACAACTAGACAGCTCTAGTCACACTTGTACTTTTAGTGATAAAATTAACAGTGTACCTCGACCTCGGCCCTCTGCTGGCTCCGCACAGCAMTTACAGTTCCCGCAGCCCGCCCTGCGGCTAGGAACGGTTTATTTCGGGAATAACAGAATTTGGTTCAGAAATTATCTATAGGTTCACACAAGGTACCTGGCCCTCAATGGTGGCAGGACAAACTGACATGGAGAAAACCATGTTTGCGAAGCCCAGCACTGGCTGGAACAGTCTTGCAGAATAATGCTCTAAGATCATACCTGGTGAAATTCAAAWTCTTTTAATTATGGTAATGATTGTTTTTTTTCATAGTGACTTACTTTATTCTTCCTCAGAGATCAACTACACGTTTGAAGTGGAGAATGAGAGGCGGCAGCTAGGCCTGCCCTCCAGGGTGCGCTTCACTGACCACTCGTCTGATCAGTTCACTGCAAGTGCAGTCCTGAGGGGACAGAACACATGGGAGTGTGTGACTACAAAGCTTGTACTGCAAGTAAGGGAGAGTATTTTACTTCTTTTTTATTTAGATCCATTTAAAACAAAAGAATGSTTTTTTTYAGCCTCAATGGAAAGAGCCTTTGTGTATAACTTTGTACATAATTCAAAAATCATATGCAATATAAAGCTTCAAAAAYAGAAACCTGCCATAGTTTAGTACTTTACTATTCCCTGCACACATGCTGCTTCTTTCTGTTGCCTTTCTTGCAAAGTATGGAGAAAAGTTGTATCCACTGCAGTTCAATAGAATTGAACTAATTTAGAACAATAGAGAGGGACTGTGAAAAATGGAGAGCTGTTTCCGACAGAAARTAACTGTTACAGAATTTCATAATATGACTGTTTAGGAAAAGAATTTTAACTCATGGGTTTTTGAGTGGATGAATGGGCAGGGCAAGAAAGCTTGGTATACTGCAGTGGCACTTAAAAGGTGGTACTGCTTCAGAGACTAAAGAGATTCCCTCTCTGTGGCTCAGCAGGAATAAGTCAGTCTTCATGRTTGCTTTTGACCACAGCAGATTAAAGAGCTTGAATTTAAGAAGAGAATAGAATCACAGAATGGTTTGCATTAGAAGGGACCTTAAGGATTATCTAATTCCAACTTCTGTGCCATGGRCAGGGATACCTTKTACTAGACCATGTCACTCAGAGCTCCATCCAACCTGTTCCAGTGTGTTATTTTACTGTAMTTGTGTGAGTTTCACCTGCCTCAATCACTATCTCTGGTTTCTAGTAATTCTGAATGGTGAGAGAAATCATCAGATTGGGAAGCCAGAAGGGAGAAAAAAAAAGAAAGAAAAAGAAAGGCTGGGCTCTTTGTGTTCTTGTACATGTTTAGAAAATGCTGGATTTATATAAAGTATCGAAAGCTCATCTTTGTGTTGTTTTTTTTCTTCTCTGCACTGTACTCTAACTATGCAATTAAAAATATTTTGACAGGAAAAAATTAAAGATAAGCTACGTCCCATTCCAATATCAGTCAGTGTTAAAATTGCTGGCCTGGAGTCACCGTCCAAGAGAAAAGAGAGTGCACTTCCAGATCTTACACCAATTCTAAGTGCAAATGAATCTGAAACAGAGACTGCAAAAGTAAGTCCTTAATATCACATATTCACATGAATTTGCACTTTTACACATAACTGAATTTTAAAGACTGCAGAAAACTAAATTGTGTCYGAAGGAGATAACTGGGTGACACTGGATGTGTAACTATTCAATTTGATTATTATTTTATATTTGTTCTGAAGTTGTKACAACATGTTATGGACTAGATCCTGTCTTTGTTTCGCAACAAAAGTGAAGATGGTATAGCTGCTAGTTTTTTTCCTTCTCCCCAACAAGTTTAGGAGGAAATGTACTTCTGATTAAAAATKAAAATCCATTGTCTGCTGCTGTGAACACTTGTCYCACATAACGAGATAATGTACATTCTAATTMTTCTACTGTTAGGATGTTGTAACAGCATTTGGGCAATGACTACAGCAGTGACATAAAAGGGAAGGAATATATCAGTTAAAAGTTCTCATTTCCTCAGTGCCTATTGAAGAATCAAACTTGAAGATGTATTTYCTCATTACAAGTGTACCTGTCATCTAGAATCATCCAACTCTGCTTTTTAGTCACATCTAAAGTTCCAAATTACCAGCATCAAGGGCTGTATCTCACAAGGGAGAACTCAACAGGCAAGAATTAAAAGTCAGGTTAAAATCTGAACTCTGTCCAGGAAAGTGCTTTGTGAGTTCCACGTAGATGCTTTATTCAATGTGCTTCAAAAAAATCTCATTTTAAGCTGTTATTGTGTGTCAGGCAGTAAAATTGCTTTGGTTTTATTTAGGTGGAGTTCTTAAAAGAAGGATGTGGAKCAGACAATGAATGCCACAGCAATCTTAAACTTCAGTACCGATTTTGTACGAGAGAGGGAAAYGAAGACAGGTTTACTTATTTACCACTGTAAGTTTTGATTAACACATATCTAAAGTTTAAATTATTAACAAATGCTTAGAAGAACTATTAGGAGAGGATTTTTGGAAAAGAAAGCAGCTTGCTTCTGCATCTGGTAAATGCAGCCCTTGGTAGTGGTATGGATTTGCAGGGTGAGGAAAGCGGGGAGCGGGGATGAACTTAAGAAGAGAAGTGGTACGGACTTGAATGGACACAAAATGGCCACACTAGTGCAGATGAGGCCTAAAAGAAAAATAGTTTTTAATGCCTGGAGAAGTTAGATTTCAAACCAGCCTTGCAGCAGTTTATTGTGTGACACTGTTTATTATTTTGCAGATGAAATTTGACTCTGCATGTGACAGCTCGATTTAGTACAGTCTAATTACCCAACAGAAAATTGAGTAATCATTTCATTTTAACAGATACCCCCAGCACCCTGCTGCATCCCTCCTTCATGGAGGGTCAGTGAAATTAGAACAGGGATAAAACAAACAGAAAGAAGTATGTTCATTTACTGTCAGCAGTCAGACACCTTTAGTAGTGAGTACCACACTCATTACTGGAGGCCAACCTCATGTACACTTTTAAGAGAAAAAAACAGGTCGGTAGACTGATCTGGAGAGAATCTGAATACAAGATGCAAGATGGAAAAAGGAGAAAATCTAGATGCAAGTGCTGGTTCAGAAATATTATAAACTCCTGATTACTTCACGGATTTATCAGTCTGTTCTGTCCTCTTAACTGCTGGCCACTGTCAGAGATGAAATACTGCTCTGGAAGAAAAAACCTCTGACAATTCATGTGTTCATAGCTCTACCATAATTCTCCCCTAATAACAGGAAATTCTATKTGGAKAATCTGTWATAAGAAGCAACAYTGTATACACATTTGTTTTCCTAATGCATAGAACCCCGTATATTCTGTTTCTGTAGTGAAAATGGCATGCCAGTGCTTATTCTGAAGGACCAGAAGGATATTGCCCTGGAAATAACAGTGACAAACAATCCATCTGATGTAAAAAATCCACAAAAAGATGGTGAAGATGCATATGAAGCTAAACTAATTGCCACTTTTCCAGACAGTCTGACGTACTCTGCATTCAGGGAGATGAGAGGTTATCCTGTAAGTATTTTTAAGAGGAAAAAAATACTGAAAAATTTAAAATATTTTCAGTATGTTTTTAGTTTTAACTGTATTCTGTTTAATCAGGAGAAACAGCTAACGTGTGGTGCTAACCAAAATGGTTCTCAAGCAGAGTGTGAACTTGGAAATCCTTTCAAAAGAAATTCCAATGTAAGTTGCACTTACTTTACTTAAGTTGTAAAATCTTATTCCTGACTGCAGTTGTCCAAAGTTTCTGTGTTGCAACTGGAAATTTGTGGATTAGTCTTTCTAGCTCTATGATCTAACAGTGCATTTCTGTAAAATTTCATGTATCAATGTAGCTTATAAAGAGTTCATGTATTTTGTTATCTTCTTGTTTAGGTAACCTTTTATCTGATCTTGAGTACCACTAAAGTTAATGTTGATACAACAGACTTGGACATTAACCTGAAGCTGGAAACGTAAGTTTTCTTTGTGAGCATGAASCTGCAATATGCTTTGATATACAGTTGTAAATATTTTGAATTTGTCTGATTCACACAAGTAATTTAATAGTAAAGAGAAGCTCACATAATTTGTAAAATAAACWCCATGGTTTGCTTTTCATTGTAGAACAAGCACTCAAGTTAATTTGACTCCAATTACAGCCAGTGCTAAAGTGGTTCTTGAATTGCTTTTATCACTCACTGGGTAAGTGTTGATAGCATGACAGACTGGGGGTTCTTTTGTGGACAGTTTTGCTTCAGACTCAYTAAAATCTGATTATTCTCCTTTCCCACCCCCACCCTGAACAGAGTTGCTAAGCCTTCTCAGGTGTATTTTGGAGGTAACATCATTGGTGAGAGTGCTATGAAATCTGAAGATGATATTGGAAGCCTCATAGAGTATGAATTCAGAGTGAGTAATTTAATGTCAACAGCTGCTTTTAATGAAACACACAGCTTCTTGCTCTATGCATATGAATACTTAGAAAAGTTGCAGTATTGAAATTGGCTTCCTTTTCCCAGAATCCTGACTTCCTGATCAGAACATGCACTTTGACTATGGATTAGAGCTTCTTTAGGCCTTGATTTTTTATGATCATATTTTGAGGAAGTGGCCYGAGGCTGGCTGCAGACTTTTTTTTTGGAGCAGTTCATGCACATTGAATTGTATGGCATAAAAGCCCCTGCAAGGAGGGAACAAAAGTTAAATCAGAACCTGCCTGGGGCCTGCCCAGCCGTTGGCTGGTGCACRCAGGGAGCAGGAACAGGCTGAGGACAGAGCCAGCGCAAGGAGACACTGCGAGAGCCCCTCTGAATGTAYGGATCTATTTCACTGTCTTGGTTTTCTGCATAATACCTCAAGGAGATGACTRAGAGCAATTAAGTCTGTACCTGCATGCATATATTACAGCAGCAGCAGTTAGGGTATCTGATTTAGAACTTGCTATCATGATCAGTAACACTAAGCAAGTAAAAAAAAAAGAGAAAAAAATCCCAGACTTACGAGAGCAAGAGCTTGTTCTCTGTGTCAAAGTGCTTCATAAACTTGCAGTTTGCCTCATTTATGTAACTGATTTATTAACTCTAAATTAGAGTTGTTTCACATTAAGAYAGATTTCTAGAAATTAACAACTAAAAGTTCATGTTAGGGAATTCTAATMCTTACATGTTTAAACCTAATGGATTTACTTGGTATCCAGTTATGCTAGTTTAAGTATATGCTTTGTTTTTGTACTACTTTGACTGCCTTTCATCTGATTTAAATTTCCTGTTAGCTATATGCTTAAAGCTTGTCCAAGTCAGTAATACTTTTAAGAACAAAATCCTCTAAAAAACATTTCACAGTTTAAAGAATGCTTGTTTTAACAGGTAACCAACTTRGGCAGACCACTGAAAACATTTGGCACTGCTTCCC